CCCGGGACGTGCAGATGACCTCGCGCAGGTTGATGTTCATCCAGTTGTCGCAGCTCACCAGGTGTCCGTTGTATGTCTCCCCATTCTTGAGCTCCACCAACTGATGAGAAATGGACCAGGGCTGGGGGCTCAGGAGGCCCGGGGTATGGACCCAGCCCACCCACAATGCTGCCAGCCTCATCCGGACCCACGGAGCCTGGTGTGGTGGCAGACACCTGTGATCCCAGCACCCGGAGGCCCAGGCAGGAGACCATTGCAAGTTCAGACCAGCATGAGCTACAAAGTGAGCTCAAGGCCAGACCTTGTCTCAAAAAAGACAAAAAACAAAACAAAAACACAACACCATGGGACACAGCCTGAGGCACCTGGGGCCCTAAACACGCCCCATCTTTCCTTCTGTGACAGCGTCTTACTGAGTTGCCCGAGCCTCTCAAGCACCAGGGTGCTGGGGTGCCAGGTGAATGGCACCACACCTGCTTGCGGGGCACCCACTCTTCTGACAGGTGAGGTCAGGGCCGCCTGCCCTGACCTGCACTCACCATGGGGTGGTTCTGCGCAGTCTTCAGCAACGACAGGGGCAGCTGCAAGGCAAACAGCTCATGACTGCTATGACAGGGCCCCAGGACTGTAGGCCTGGCTGGGGGGAGGGCTGGGAGTGCCTGCTGGCCCTCAAAGCGCACCTTCCCTCCAGGCCTCACTAGCTGTGCATGTGCACACCCAGCAGCAAGCATCCAGAAGGCTCCTGGGCCACAGCCCTGCACTCTATGTGGATCCTCGTATCTGTTGTGGTCACAACACAGACACACACACACACACACACACACACACATTTTTTTTTTTTTAAACAGCATCTCTCTCTGAACATAAGCTGGCCTTGAGTTTACTAGGAAACCCAGGCTGGCCTTGAATTCAAGGTGAGCCTCCTGCCTCAGCCTCCCAAGGGTTGGGATTCCAGGCATGTGCCACCAGGCCCGGCCTGGCGCACTCCACACCTTCTGCACGGTAGGACTCACCTAACTGCAAGGAAAACAACTTCAAGCCAGTACTGAGGCAGACTTGGAATTCCAGCACTTGAGCAGCTGAGGTGGAGAACTCCTCAAGTTTGACCCCCGGTAGTGATGTTTCTCACTCCCCTCAGGCTGCACACCTCACCACACACGCCCAGTCCTCTAGAAAGAACGGAGGTGGCCCTGCTGGACTCCCAGGAGCCGGTCAGGTCCTGCCCAAAGCAGCGCTGCAGTCGGGCTGGTGCCCACGGGCCACACAGCTCTGTGGGGATCGGAGCGCACTCTTCCTCGCAGCGCGTGGGAGCTAGGGCTTCTCACATCTGAAGAGCCCTGCCGCTGGACTCTGGCCCACACTTTTTATTTTTTTGCAGAACCGAGGATTGAACTCAGGCCCTTGCACTTGCTAGGAAAGTACTTATTCCACTGAGTGATCTCCCCAGCCCCTTGGCTCAAGCTCTTTAAAAGAAAATTTTAGGGGGCTGGGGAGGAGGCTCAGTAAGATAAGCGCTTGACTGGCAAATGCAAGGATCTGAGTTCAATCCCCGGTTCCACAAAAAAAAAAAAAAAAAAGAAAATTTTAAAAATCTTTTTATGTATTTATTTGGTATGGGGTCTCACTACGCAGCTCTGACTCACAGTGATCCTCCTGTTTCATGCTCCCCAGTGCTGGAATTACAGGTGTGCGCAGCACCATGCCCAGCGGGCAGCTCAGCGCACCCCAGGCAGGACCTGCACGGCATGTGGTGCTGGGATCAAACTCCAGTCCTTGCCCTTGCCAGACAGGTGCTTAGACTGCTGAGCTATCCCCACAGCCCTAGGTCCTCTTTGCTACGAGCTCCCCTAGCCTCCTTGGAGCCATACCCCAGCCCTCCATGGGGTTTTTGCAAGTTTTGCGTTTTTGGAACACCGGGCATGACCCGGGGGTGCTGGTTCCAGAAAGCAGGGCCTATGTCAAGTTCAGAGTCCTGGCTCAGCCACAAGAGACCTGGCACTCCAGGGCCACAGCAGAGGCATCTCCTAGGGTGACAGCAGCCCTGGGCCCAGCACTCAGAGGCCTTTGTGGGCATCCCGCTCCTCCGGGGCAAGGAGGGCTGGGAGGAATCCTCCATTCCAGAGCTTCCTGAGAGCTGACAAGAAACCAGGCCAAGCCCACATCCTGCGTGGCTTCCTGGAAGGCGAGATAAGGAGGAAGAGGAGACAGCTAAGGAAGGGCAGCTGCAGGCTCAGCCTCCTCACTGCAAATAAGGGCAGTTCCGGCCACCCTAGAGGGGACACAGGCACTACAGATTGCCACATGGGTCCCATGTGGGGCCACCCTGCCAGGGTGGAGCCAGGCCTTTCCTCAGCTGATGTAGGGAGACACCTGCTCACAAAGGCAAAACTCAGGCCGGAGCACTCACCTCGGGCCCTGGGTCCCACACAGGACAAAAAGAAAAGGAGTAACGCCAACACCTGGGATGGTCCTCACCCTAGATGCGCTTCCCTGGTCAAGGACAGAGGCCTCATGCAGTGCCACTGCCCTCCCTGGCCGACAGGTCCACTCCTGCCCTGCCCTTCTCCTCAGACCTTCCTGGTACTGGTGGCTGCTAAAAGCGTCACCTCCTTGGGCCAAGCCCTCTTAATAGCCACCCTCTGGGAGTGGTTGCTTGTTTCCATTATAGGCCTGCCAACCTCTAATTATCTTGTTTATTTATTACCTGTCTCCCCAGCTAGACTAGAAAACTCAGGGTGGGCGTGCACTCTTACCCTGCCAACTTATGCACCAACCCCACTGGCACCCACAAGGCCTTGAGAAATTGCTTGCCATCCAGGGAGGCAGGACACAGCCAACCCACAGGTGAGGAGGGGCAGCGGCAGGCCACTGAGCAGGACAGGGTGTCCTGGGGAGGTCTTCAGTGACCCCGTTTTGCCTTTCACTGTCCTCACCCCAGGCCCTGGAGAACTTGAAAGTGGCACGTGGGCTGCCTGGGGCTCCATGCTGAGCCCTTGCCTGGCCAGTGTGAGGCCCCGGGGTTCTTCCCCAGCACTTGGTAAGCTGAGGCAGGAGGATCCATGCGAGTTTGTGGCCAGCCTGGGATACATAGTGAATGGCTTAGCAAGATTGCGTCTCCAAAAACAAAACAAAACAAATCCCAAACCCCGCTGCCTAAAAAGAGATAAGTGAGACTGGCAGAGAGCCTACCACCCAACTGCCTGGGTCAGCTTGACCCAAGACAGTCGAGTTCCAGAAAAGACATGTCCCTTGGCCAGGCTTCCTTTGGGTAGACAAAGACTAAAGGCCAAGGCTCAGAGCTCAGGGAGCCCCTGGACTCCCCTTTTGGGCCTCGGCCCACAGGCCACTAGGGGTGTGAGTCTGTGTCTCACTTGTCTCCAGCATTTCAGGGCACCCCCAGAAAGCTGGGGTGGTCAGGAAGAGACTAGAGGCACGGGCCTTGAGCCTGAACTTCCCATGGGTATTGTTCTACTCAATATGGGGAAACATATGGAAGAGGGGTGGACATCTGTATCCTACTTACCAGAGAACAGGAATATCCCAAGTTTGAAGCCAGCCCAATACCAAGACATGTCAAAATTACACATATATATATTTTTTTCTTTTTCTTTTTTTCAAATGGGCTTGAGAGTGGCTCAGGGAAAGAGTACTTGCCTAGCACGTGTGAGGTCCTGGTTCCATCTCCAGCGCTGCAAAAAAGCAGCCAGAGTGGTGGTCCAGGCCTGTAAAACCCACATGAGAGGCTGAAGCAGGAGGATTGCTATGAGTTTGAAGCCAAGTTGGGTTATATAGTGAGACTCTGTTTCAAAACACCAAAACCACACAAGCTAGACGCGGATGAACGAGACTTCCAGCCCTGGACACCAAGTTGTCACCTGCGCCTTGGGATCCCCAGCGCATTCCCCACCGAGTGAGATGCCTCCAGGACCGTGAATGGTGTGCTCGTGGGGTTTTGGGGCCCTTTTTTTTTTTTTCTGTAAGCCAGGAGGTTGCACTGAGTCCTCTCCTGGCTGTAGACCCCCCCCAGCCTTTTCACAAAGGATCCGCTGTGTGACCCAAGGAGAAGCGGCCCCTCTGTGCCACTTACGGCCCAAGCAAAGACGCCTGCGCCTTGCACGCGACGCACTCGGGCTTCCGTCTGCAAAGCAGGGGCCTGCAGCTGGCCGCTGTACCACGGTCACTGTTGCCCGGCCCTGCACCCCCGACAGCGACGCGCGCTGCGGTCCTGCCTCAGTTTTCCGGCCTCGGGCCAGGGGGCGGGCCTCAAGGCCAGTACTACAGGCCCGCTCCAGCTCCTAGCTCCCGCCCCGAAGTCCCCGCCGGCCGCGTCCCCAGCCTCCAAGAGACCCCGCCGTCGCCTCGCCCTCACCATGTCGTCAGCGGGGGCTCACTGGCCACTTCCGCCGCACTCTCCGCCGCTCACGTTGCCGCCGGTGGCCGCCCCGCTGCGCGCCACTAGGCCAAAAAGGAGTGGCAGAGACGCGAGCGAATCAGCACTGGGTTTGAGGCCCAGACAGCCAATCCTCATAGAGTAGGGCGGGGCCTACGAGCATGGCGGGCGGGGCGAGCCGCGTTCCCGCCAGTGGAATTTGGGAGAGAGCCGTAAAGTTGCCTCTCGAGTGACGTAAAAGGGGGCAGTACGACGTGCGTCAGTACGGGTGCGTGGGTGGGTAATTAACGCACGCGCAGTGATGCATGCGCGCGTCTGCACTGCGGTGCCGACATTTGGGATTAGTGCTCCGGTGTGCGGCAGAATGGCCGGAATTCAGCTTCGTGGTTATTGGGTCGTGCGGAGAGTGCCCGCCGTTATCGTTTTTCTCTGTTGTTACCAAGCAAAATGAGTATGGGAAGTGGGGTCGGTGACTATCCACCCGATGGCCAGGGTGGCGGCCGGGGCAGGACGCGGTGGCGAGCACGCGCGCTCTGGCGCAAGGAGTAGCCGCTAAGAATTTATGGACTGTTTCTGGCATTGCCCATTTAATATTTTTGCACTGTAGTTGACAAAGGGTAGACAGATCCCGGGCTGGTGGCTCGCGTAGTCCCAGCACTGGGAGGCTGAGGCAGGACGATCGCAAGTTCCAGCCCAGCCTAGACAATTTAGAGCATTAGCGAGGAAAAGGTAAATAAGTAAATAAAAGTAAATTCCTAAAGGCTGGGGATGTCGGTCTTCGTGCGAAGGCCGTGGGTTCCATCACCCTGTATGGAAAAGAAAAAGCGCAAGGGCCTGAGTTCAATCCCCGTTCCGCCAAAAAAAATAAAAAGAAAAGAAAGTGAAACCAGGATTTGTCATAGTTTGGGAAGCCAGAATTCTGAAATGAAAATGTCAACAGGGTTGGCTGCTTCTGGGGACTTTAAAGGACAATCTGGTAACTCAGAATCTTCACTATCCTTTGGCTTTTAGATAAACGATCTTCCCATGCCTTGTCTGTCTCTGCAGCTCAAACACTCCCCACCCCACCATTCTGAAACAGTGCCTTCCTGGGCTGGCCTTGAACTTTGGGTCCTCCTGTGTCAGCCTCCCAGAGTGCTGGGGTTACAGGTGTGTGCTAACACATCTGGTTTACTTTCTTTTTTTTTTTTTTTTTTTTTGTAAATCCATTTGCAATTCAAAATAACTACGTTCATCTTTTTTTTATGTATTTTAGGACAGGATTTCACTACATAGATTGGACTCAGTGATCCTCCTGTTTTTAGCCTCCCAAGCACTGAGATTACAGGGCTGGGATTACGGGGCGCACCAGCAGGCCCAGTCTCAGTTGCAGTCTCAGCGCGCCCTGGGGGTGGGGCGGGCCCTGCAGAACGGAACTACGTTCCTCTTGAGGGACTGACGCCTACACAGCACATCTGAAGCCCTTCTTCCTCTTCCACTTCCTGCCCTCCTGTCTCCCCGATTTCCAGATCCCTTTGTTTTTTCTGATAAGGATGCTCCTCTGTCCTATCCGAAAGCCCCATCTGAAACCCAGGGGAATCCCAAAGAAGCTCCTCATTAGCCCTTCCCATCCCGTTTGAGTTCAAGGCCTACCCAGGCAGCACAGAGGGAAGATTTGGACAGACTTTCGCTAGGCAGGTACTCAGTTCCTTAGCGCTAATATTAGCTGCTGTCCTTTTTTTTTTTTTTTTTTTTTTCCTGCTGTCTTTGAACTAGACATGTGTTTGGTGTGCTGGTCTGAGGTGGGCACGGGCCAGTCAGCATCCACAGCGGAGCAGACCCGCTTCCCCTTGAGCCCAGGACTGTGGGGCTCGGGGCTCTTTTGTAACGTGCAGGGAGGTTGCGCGGGGCCACACGGGGGTTGAACCCGTGGCCTTGGCGCGGAGGCACCTCCCCCAGCCCTTTTTTTTAAAATTTTTTTTCTTTCTTTCTTTCTTTCTTTTTTTTTTTTTTCAGGTCAGCTCAGCCCACCCTGTGGGCAGGGCTGGCATGGCATGTGGTGCTGGGGATCGAACCGAGGTCCCTGCATGTTTGCCTAAGCAGGCGCTTTAGACCACTGAGCTATCTCGCCAGCCCTCCCCAGCCCATTTGATTGATTTATGTTCTGTATTTCGGACAGGGTCTACAGGGTTGGACGCGCAGTGAGTGAGTCTCCTGTTTTCATCCTCCCAAGCGCTGAGATTACAGATGTGCAGCACCGTACCCAGTCTCCGCCATGCCCAGCCTCCATCGCTGTCAGCGTGCCCAGGGCCTGGCCGGTACAGCCTCTGCGTCTGCCTAAGCAGGTATTTAGTCTGCTGAGCTATCAGGACCTATTTATCTGTTTTATGGCCTTTTTTGTTTGGTTTTGTTTTTTCTTTGCTTTTTTGATCTACAGGGTGATCTGTTGGTTTTTTTTCTTGTTGGTCCCCCCCCCACTGGGAATTGAACTCAGGACTTTGTGCTTGCCAGGCAAGTACCCTATTTATGTTTTGAGGCAGGGTCCTGGGACTTGAATTTAACAGTCTTCCTCCACCCCCCCCGGATTAAACTCAGGCCCTTGCGCTTACCAGGCAAGCACTTATTCTACTGAGCTATCTCCCTAGGCCCAAATTTAAGTCTTTCATCAGCTTCCCAAGTGTTGGGATCACAAGAGAGATGAACCACAACCCCCAGCTCAGACTGAGAAATTCTTTCTTTTTGATTGAGCTCAGGTCCTTGTGCTTGCCAGGCAAGCGCTTATTCTACTGAGCCATTTCCCCAGCCCCTGAGAAACTCTCTTCTTTCTTTCTTTCTTTCTTTCTTCTTTCCTTTCCTTTTCTTTCCTTTCTTTTGACAGGGTCTTGCTATGTAGTTCAGGCTGGCCTTGAATTCACTGTGCAGCCCAAGCTGGCCTAGAACTTGTGATCTTCCTGCCTCAGCCTCTTGAATGGTGGGGTTACAGGCATATGCCTCCACACTTGGATTTTTTTTTTTTAAACCAGGGACTGAACTCAGGACTGTGCTTGCCAGGCCAGTGCTTGTGCCAGTGAGCTATAGCCCAGGCTGACTGAGGAATTCTTAATGCTGCCGTTCTCAGCAGAGTCCCATGTACTGGGCCTCAGAGGCCTTGGCCCTGGGATCTGGCTGCCTCCCACCACAGGGTCGGCACCCAAAGCCTTGCAGGAAACAAAGGGACGTGGCCTCTGATTATGAGGGCCAGGAGATGGGGCTCTGCCCTTCTCCCTGCCAGCCAGGGCCCTGTCCTGAGTTGTCAAATACAATACCCACATGAGCCACGGGGTCCCCACGCCTGGACCAACCATTGTCCTTCCTGATGTTTGCAGAATAATGCCGTGTCCAGAAAGAAGGGGAGATGCCTTGATCAAGCCTGATTGCTCACTCTGCAAGAAACCTGGTCACTCTGATTGCTCGTGGTCTTCGTTTTTTGTTTGCTGAGACAGGGACTCCCTGTGTAGTTCATGCAAGCCTTGAACTCACTGTGTAGTTCAGACTGGCCCCAAACTCACGACAGTCCTCCTGCATCATTCTCGTGAGTGCTGGGGTTACAGGTGTGCATAACCACGCCGAGCTCACGTGACTGAATTAAAAAAAAAAAAGAACATAAAGCGTCCTAGCCTTGGGGGTCCCCGATCCCTAAACCCCTGTTCTAGGGTGAGGTCGCCCTGTCACCAAAGCCCAGCCTGGAAAGGAGCCTCCTCGGGCAGCTGCGGAGCCTAGGGACCAGGCAAGAAGGGCCCGCCTAGAAGACAGACAGACTTTCTGTGTGCGGTATCTTGCCTCAGGTGCGGAAGGTTTTCCTGTGGGAAACCGCGGTTGGGGTGCCCCCTGGTGGCAGCCCTCCCTCACTGCAGCTGTGGAGGCGGGAGCTGCGACCACGCCTGTCTGCGGGGCCCTAAGGACTGGTTGAAGGAGCCGGGCCTACAAAGGCGGCTGGCCTGCCTTGGGAGGGACACTGCGGGCGGGCGGGGAAGAGAAGACCTCTTTCCACAGAGGTTATCAAAACAAGACCTTGAAAGCCGGAAGGCTGAGGCTGGAGGATTCAAATTCAAGTCCCAGGCCGGGGAGATGGCTCAGTAGAATAAGTGCTTGCCTGTCAAACACAAGGGTTTGAGTTCAATCCCCGGTTCCACCAAGAAAACCCCCAAAAATATTCCTAGTCCCAAGAAGTTGGTTTTTATTGTTTAATCTGCCTGGAATGTGAGAGCTGTCCCTCGGCACGCCCTTCACTTCGCTGGACCCTGCTATCTAATCACCTGTCTTTTGTCCTCTGAGTGGCAGGACATGCCACTCCTAAGTGCCGTTCTCAGTCCTCTGGCCCCTGATGTGGAGGAGCAAAGGTCGGAGAGTTCTTGGGATTTTTTTTTTTTTTTTTTTTTTTGTGGTACTGAGATTGAACTCAGGATCTTGTGCTTGCCAGGCAAGCGCTTATTCTACTGAGCCATCTCCCCAGCCCGGTTGGAGAGTTCTCGTGGGCTGCCCTCTGGGGCTACCCAGCTGCTTTCCTGCCCCAGCGTCCGCCAGGGACCCAGGTCTGGCCAACAGAGCCTTCACCAGGATTACATGGTCCGTGGCAGCTGGGTCCAGCCGCAGCTGATGCTGTATGAATCCACATCCTCAGGTCCAGCAAGATGACTTAGTGGACTAAGTGCCTGCTTAGGCAAGCACAGGGACCAGGGTTCAATCCTGGCACCGCATGCTGCTCAGGCCCTACTGCCAGGTGCTGAGCCTGCCATGCAAACGAGGGGGAAAACAGGAGGATCCCTAGGAGTGAGACCCTGTACCAAATAGATTAAAAAAAAAAAAGCCTCATCCTTACCTACCCGTTGAACCTGTGTGCTGCAGTTGTGTGTTTGTGTGTGTGTGTGTGTGTGTGTGTGTGTGTGTGTTTATCTATTGGGCTCCTCTGGAGCCCAGGCTGGCCTTTAACTCACAGCAGTCGTCCTGCCTCAGCCTCCTGAGGGCTGGGATGACACATATGCATCACATGCCCAGCTTCAAAACAATTATTTAATAAAGGAGCTGAAGGTCAGAATTTGAGAACTGTT